TTTTTTTTTTTACTTTCTTTCTTTTGGTTGGATCTCCTCTGGCTTTGCAATTTTGGATGTTCTCATGGTAATAAGCTGTTTTTACTTTTACCTTTGGTCTTCCATGTTGTATTATTTGCTAATTGCATTGTGGGTATTAGTCTCTTGGCTTTCACAAATCATAATTGTGCATCTGATTCATTTTCTGTATTGGGGGAGAAAATGCGTAGGAGAGAAAACGGGTAATAGAGAATTATGGGTATTGGTCACTTTGTGATTAAGGACTAGCAAATTCAATTTTGTTAGAAGGGAGGGGTATGGAATTTGTACGTATACTTATAGTTTTGTTGATCAGACATGAAATTTGTATAAATGGGAGAGGATAAGGATAAGGGATGGGGGGAGAAACAATAGCATATTAGGGGAGCTTGAATGTCTCTCCAGTTTCCACCCTTCTAATTTTGCTTTCTGTATTTAGGTTTCATCTTAGGAGTCTAGTAATGTTCCTTGAACGGTTTGTTCTGTCTGTGGGACTTGGTAGAATCAACCTTAATGATCTATTTAAAGAGAAAAAATCTAATAGAGCTCTTACTAATAGATTTGAGGTTCATAGCTGTTCTTCATTGCCCTGTTGCTTGGAACTTACTGTGCTTGTTGTTTTGTTTTTGGTGAGAAGGGAAACAGGGTATAAACCTTGGCAAGATTTCTATTTTGCCATGGAAAAGTTTTGACAAGAAAAATGATATTAGGTTTATATGGGGAAGTACTTTGTTTGCCATAGTTTGACCTTTTCAATCAGAACATCAAGAAGTTTCAAAAGTAAATAAAGTTTTCTTTGCCGTTGGATAAAATTCTTCATCTTGATTCACCATGCTATTCAGTGAATGGCTTCTTCAAGGAAAATTTACTAGTTAATATTTGGAGGGACCATGCCTGTCTTCAATAATGTATATCTAATTCTGTGTGTGTATGATCCATTTCATTGAAACTGTTAATATGCTTCAACACTCTTTTCTTTAGGATTTGGGACACAGAAAGAGAAGTATCAATCTAGTGGTTGTGTAAATTAGCCTTGGGCTTATTTTGTAGTTGAAGGAAGGTATCATATCCCGAGATCTATGTGAAGAGAATAATCTTCAGTAAGTGAAGATTAATCCTTGAGGAAATATTGATTGAACTTGTTACTCTCTTTTGTTTTTCCCTGGTTATCTAATTTTGTTTCTTTCTTGGACAACACCAATGATGCAATATGATTTGACTTTAGGAAGATGCATGAATTCTCTACTGTTGATGGTTTTATGGAGATAAGTGAATGCATGGCAGAGATGACTAAGTACGTGGCTAATGAACCATCTGTTGGGCTTTTCTTTATCCAACATCATGTTCAAAATGCAGTTCCCAATGTCATTAAAGTTAGGAAAAGTGTTGTTGATAAGTCTCACGAAATGACTTTGCGCACGGAAGATTTGGATGACTCGATCAAGATGGTTGGATCAATGAAAGAGTGTGGAATTCC